CTAAAGTTTCGTGCATTAACCTGTAAAAACTAGTTTTATTTAATGAGTGATTTGCGTGAAAACCTGGGAAACAAATTCTTATATGCCTTAATTCCTGATAAGATCCAGACAGACCGTCCGTACGTCTCTAACTTGGGTTGCCAGATACTGGCTTAACAATTCTGGGACATTTGTACACCCCCCTGAAAAAATAAAGCATCTAATCACCCCCCCCCCCCCCCCCCCCCCATCACCCTCCAGAAGCGGTGTTATTCGTTTTCAGTTTATTTTGTTACGAAACTAGCACATTTTCTGAATCCGGGACTATAAGTTCTAATTACTGGACACGTCACAAGACGCAAAATTTCGTGACAATCTCGGATTACTCGGCCATCTGGCAAGCCTATCTCTAACAGATGTACGAACAGTAGATACATATAAGGGCGAAACTTAAAAAGAAATGCTGTTGTATATATGTAGATTTCAATAGTTCGGTTTCACTTATTGTGATTGTCATAATGCGAGCCCTTCCCTGATTTATAATTTTGTCAATAATATTTATGTATTATATTTTCTTGTTACAGCTGGTGGGCGCGTTGGTGTTGGCCGCAGTCACAGCGACCCTGCCCCGCAAATATTACAAACGCGAAGGTAAACACTAAAACCACACTACACTACACTACACTACACTACACTACACTACACTACACTACACTACACTACACTACACTACACTACACTACACTACACTACACTACACTACACTACACTACGCTACGCTACACTACACTACACTACACTCACGAACACTGCAATATTGCCACAGAGCCTCTGCCACCGACGCAACTTACAAAATTGACATTGTTAAAGATAACTCTCCGAGCAGCTTAGAAACTAAACCACGCCGTGCAAAGCTTTGATGGAATTTCAAGGGTGCTTTAATAAGACATTTACTGTATATGGTGGGTTAGAATCTGTCATTGTCATTTGTTTACGCCTGTGGAATGTCAATATTATAACTAAGGAGCTGGTGGCAGTAATTTTTATATGATTCCATCGTCTGACAGACGTTGATAATATTAAAGTACTAAGTAAGATATATGATAATTAACAAACACCAACACTACACAGCTAGCATACTTGCACACTAGCTTAGCATTAGGCAGACACCGCACCCGTAGGATAAGAGTGCGAAGACCCGGTCTATAAACAAAACGCTAGGTACTGGTACGTACCTGGGCGTTTTTCCCCGCCCCTGCGACAACGGCTAACTAGAGCCGTGGTCTCAGGGACACCCTCTATTTGAGTCAATCGCCTCAGGTTCCAGTGGTCTAGGGGCTCCAGACGGAGAGGAGACCCCCCGTGGGGAGATGCCATCCGCCTGGAATACCTCTAGAGCCACTAGCCAATTCTCGGCTTGAGGTCACACTACACACTAAAAAAAGTGTTTATCATTATCAACCTATTAACGTCGCTATTGGTGATGCACAGGTCTTCCCTATTGGTGGAATATTAAGAATGGACCATAATACACGACGTACACTCAGTGCTCATTGAAATGAAATGAAATGAATGAAACGAAATGAAATGAATGAATGAAATGAAATGTAATAAAATGAAATGAAAAATCTTTATTGGCCATCTAATATATAAGAAACAGAGGAAAAAAACATATAAAAAAGAAACTTAACCTAAGAACAAAAATGAATCACTAGATTTAAGACGGCCAATCAGGACCCTGCCTCAGCTTATGCTGATACAATTAATCATTGATTGATGCTATGCTAACGGCTACCGATGCTACCGGGACCAACGGCTAATATACTTTCCGAAAACACGGAGGAGTTCGCGATATTTATTTTATGATCACCCATCCTATCGCCAGCTAATGTGAAAGTCGTTTAACTTTTACAGGGTGGCAAACCAGCATATGGCCCGATAGAAAGCGGTCCCATAGCCTATAGATGCTTCCTAAACCAATCCCCAACCCCGTGGAATCCTATAACCCTACTCACCTGTGGAAATACCACCAAAATATAGTGTTATTTTACTGTGGTCTTTTATAAGGTGAAGCCCCAGATGAGTGCTCCAATTCCAGCGGAAAATACGTCGCTTCAAAATTTTACGCCAACTAACCCGCCATCTAACTTCTCTTTATGTTTATCAATTTACAACATTTTTTTTGTGGTATCAACAAAACACTGTTATCGCGAGCGTCTATAGGCTACACTGGCCACTTATCGTCAGCCACTTACTTAGTCCATAAGTATGCTTATTTGCCAAGTTTTTACACGAAAAAGATAACCTGCAATTCAACATCATGCTATGGAGGAGGCTCTTACTTTAAATAATAAATAAATAAATATTTCCAACACTCACACCAATTAACCTAGCCCCAAGCTAAGCACTATAAGGCTTGTGTTATGGGATACTAGGGTAACGGATAGAATACATATACTGTACATATATAAGTAGAAATGCATATTAAACATCCATGACTGGAGTACAAATGCTCGTATTCATCACACAAACATCTGCCCCCACCGGGATTCGAACCCGGGACCTCTCGAGTCGGCGACACCATGAAACCCGGCGTACAAACCACTCGGCCAAGGAGGTCGTCAAATATCGATTGTCCACGATGTCGAGTGTAATACCAATACCTCTGTCCGCAGCGCCGCTGAGCTCCTCTTACCTGCCGCCGTCGGGTGGTGGCGGAGGATACGGCGGCGGCCGTCCATCGTCCAGCTACGGTGCTCCGAGCCGTCCCTCTTCAAGCTACGGAGCCCCATCTCGCCCTTCATCAAGCTACGGAGCCCCGAGCCGACCTTCGTCTAGCTATGGTGCCCCGAAACCATCCTCCAGCTACGGCGCACCTTCGTCGAGTTATGGAGCCCCAGCTCCATCGTCCAGCTATGGTGCTCCAGCTCCTTCATCCAGCTATGGTGCCCCAGCTCCTTCATCCAGCTACGGTGCCCCAGCTCCTTCATCCAGCTACGGAGTTCCTTCTCGCCCCTCATCCAGTTACGGAGCGCCCAAGCCTTCAAGCAGCTACGGTGCCCCAGCCAGACCACCAGCGACGAGTTACGGCGTCCCCACAGGACCTTCCACCACCTACGGCGCACCAAAACCTTCAAGCAGTTACGGAGCCCCCAAACCTTCCAGCTCTTACGGAGCCCCCGCCCCGTCCAGCTCTTATGGCGCACCAGCACCTTCTAGTTCTTACGGCGCTCCCGCTCCCTCCAGTTCATATGGCGCTCCTGCTCCTTCCAGTTCTTACGGTGCCCCTGCTCCGTCTTCCTCTTACGGCGCCCCAGCATCAGCACCGTCTAGTTCTTACGGTGCTCCATCTCCTTCGTCTTCGTACGGTGCTCCTGCTCCTTCATCTTCGTACGGTGCCCCTGCTCCTTCATCCTCATATGGTGCCCCTGCTCCTTCATCCTCATATGGTGCTCCAGCCCCGTCATCCTCTTATGGAGCCCCTGCTCCTTCATCTTCCTACGGCGCCCCATCAGGTGGCAGCGGGTTCGGGGGTAGCGGATTCGGTGGCAGTGGATTTGGCAGCAGCGGTTCCGGAGGTTTCGGTGGTAGCGCACCGTCTTCAAGCTATGGAACCCCGTCCAGCTCTTACGGTGCTCCCTCGAGCAGCTACGGAGCCCCGAGCGCGGGTGGATTCTCTTCTGGCGGCTCCGGTGGCTACTCTAGCGGCGGAGGTTCCGGCGGATTCTCGTCTGGAGGCTCTAGTGGTCACTCATCCGGTGGATCCGGAGGCTACTCGTCCGGTGGATCAGGCGGCGGCTACTCTTCCGGAGGATCCGGTGGCGGCTACTCTTCCGGAGGATCCGGTGGTGGCTACTCTAGCGGCGGCTCAGGAGGCTACTCTAGCGGCGGCTCTGGAGGCTATTCGTCTGGCGGGTCTGGCGGTCACGGTTCTGGCGGCCACGGTTCCGGCGGCCACGGTTCTGGTGGTGTCCCCGCCACTATCAACCAGAGCTACGACTCCAACGGCGGTTATGTGTACTAGGGTTATCCTGTCTAGATTCATCCGTAGATTGGAACTTATAGTCAATATTAAGTTACGCGTGAAGGGTACTGAAGTGTGCGGGTGCTCACGGACTACAATCTCTTTGATGTTACGATGAAAGTTTTGAAATTGCGATCAGTGTGAATGTTTCTTATCATTCCCATAGTTCGAGGAGTTATCATTAAAATGTATGTATTGTAAGTCGAGTCACGTGAAGTCTCTCTATTTATTTGGCCCCCCATCTGTCAACTCTACTGGGCCACGAAGCTGGTGACTTTTATCAGAAGTATTAAATTTATTTAATTGTAATACATTGTACAAAAATTAGATTAAGTACTGAAAATTATTTTGTATAAATTATAATTTTTGTAAATAAGTATTTTGGTGCATTTTCATTTTATAACCTTTAATAATGGAGTAATGTGGGCAAAGAAAACAAGCCATTCAACATACTATATGTTTATTGATGTCGCAGGAGCGGCCGCAGAGTTTCACAACATTACACATTTTTTTCACATTTTCAAAATATTTAACAAGAACTAGGAATAAGTCAATAAATAGTAGGTATATCTACTAACTAACAGTGGACCTGCCATTTGTTAATATCCAGGCGCATCATGTTTATAGCAATCACTAATTTCAAAATACATTTTTTTAAACAGTTCCCTTTCTGAGAAATATAAAATTGTCCATCTGAGAAATATGTGAACAAGATCATATTTGTTTCTTAGGTTTTCACGCACATCACTCATTAAATAAAACTAGTTTTTACGGGTTAATGCACGAAACTTTATTTATTTATTGACGTTTCGTAGCCTTTACAGGCTACGTCGTCAGAATCAAATTTTTATTTAATTTGTCGAGCTACCTTCGAAAGACTTTTATTGAGCGTTCGGTAATTTCATTGTTAGATTTTTAAAGTTTTATTGTCTATGTATGAATTTATTATTTAATTTACTGAATAAAGTATTGAATATAATAATAATATGAAATGTCAATATATAAATAAAGTTTCGGGCATTAACCCGTAAAAACTAGTTTTATTGAACAAGATCAATTACAAAGTGCCCTATCAGGGACGGAAATATCATATCATATATAATACTTTACTTACTGCAATAAAAGGTTTTAATGTAATATTACATTGGAATTTTCCAGAATGTGTAGCATCTTACCTAAAGAAGATCACATCTCGAATAGATAAACTTTGATTTTATAAAAACAATCATAACGTAAAAACTATGCTATATTATACATATATATATATATAGTTTTGTATAAGGAATAAAACTGATGCGCATTTATATCAAAAAACGGGGTCGAAGAACAACAACGATTCCTATACCTACTCTTACATTTATATTGATATGTTTCGTTTCACACTAAAATTAGATATTCATCTATGATATGTATATAGTTTATATTAAATCACACAAACATGATATGTATCGTACGTAGTCTTACAGGTCGAGTATTTATAGATAAACATTCTTCACCACGCGGTCAGAAACGCTGTAATACACATTTATATCACAATAAAGGGTTTTGCAAAACATTTCGTAAACATCTCCAATATAATCTAAAAGTCGTTTAGACGACTCTCACATAAGTTTCTCTTAAAACAATATCAAAAGCCAGGTTCATATTTGATAACATTACATACACCAATAATGAAGTCATCTTTAAAGAGTACATTTAAAAGCGTAAGTGGTGAGTACATCAATTATTTAAACATTGTTTAGACACGCCAGGTCGGTGGGATATCATGTCAGTTTACAATTAATATCTTTGAACACCGATACACATTAAATCCTCTAAAATATTGAAAGGTATCCGTACTATCAGTGACTATACGGAAGATAATTCAACATGAATATGTTTCTATTAATCGATTGATGCTTGACAATTGATCACAATACACCCATAACCTCTTAGGCCGTAATGGCTCATTAGAAATTATCTATCAATAATGAGTCGTAATATTGGACTTAGAGAAAGGTTACAATCAAATAACATTATATTTTAATAGGATTCATCACCCAATGATGCAATACAATTTTTTTATTAATGTGCGACTAGTTTTGCACACCTGTTTGTTTAAAGAATGGGAATGCTACAATATAGCAAAAGTAGATAAATATTTTGTTATCTTGTGTCCTTACATAGATGACATCTTTATACCTTCACTGACAGCACGAAACCTTTCTTTAATTACTCTTAATTTTTTATCATTATTTTAACAAAGCGGAAATTCTATAGCCTAAGTATAAATTAAACAATATAAAAAGAAATATTGAAATATACAGATAAAGCTTTGATAAAAAATAATTTGCCACTAATTTGTACTACATTAAAAAAAATGCGCTACAGTTCTTCGTGTGTCAACCATTTATCATTCTATCGTATGCAATTTCACTAAACCCACTAAAAGTCAATTATTACAATAGTGATATGTATTAAATTTGTTTTATAATAATTTGAATTGATCTTACGTTTGCTTCACAAGCGATATGATTAAACATCTCAATTAGATTATATAAAATTTCAACCATTCGTCGTATTTAATATATTTGAATATTACTTTGGTCACAATAATGTAGCATCAATCATATTCATATAATTTTATTCGTGATCGTTACTACGATTCATATAATCATATATTTCGTTACAATACGATCTATAAAGCACGCACGTAACATATTATGTGCTCTCTACATTAATTGACTTAAATAAGGAATCTTCTTCAATATAAACAAGACAGTATATATTATAAAATATCTTCTAATCTCAAAGTAACACTCGATCATGATATGTATCATTTGCGTCATTAACATTAAACTTGGCTACAAAATAAGTTTGCTTATATTCATTTTATACATTCACTAGGTCATACGCTATTGCTTCAATGCATTCCTATAATAAGTTCATTATATTAGTGATTCGCTCTGTGGCGCGGATCATATTAGAATAGGGCGATGGTTTCAGTGAGACATACAAAACTGTGTCCTGGGAAGAAATCGGTGATGTGACATTGAGCACGATTCTAAATACAGGGTCGTCTCGGGCTGCACTAATGGGGGTGGGACACTGCTGGGAGTGCCGGGAGATTACTGATCTCAGAAAGCGGTTTGCTTTCCGAACGGTTGGACTGGTGGGGGGGCGTTGCTGGTGCCGAACAGGGGTGTGGGTCCATCGTTGGGGTCGTCGAGGTCGTCGTCGGGTTCGAGGGCGGGGTTTATGCGGCCGGTGGACTCGTCGGGGCCAACGAGAGTGGAGGCGGCGCCATACAGCCTCCCTGGCACGCCGCCGAGTACAGACATCTGCTCGCCCGCCTCGCTCGGCTCGTCCACGCGTCTGATGTCCTCGGGGATGTTCACCACGCAGTTGAAGTAGTCCGACTCGGGGCTCAAGTACCCGGAGTTGAATAGGTACCTGGACAGTTTAAAGATTCTCTATGATTTCTACACGCCCCAAGACAATAAGAAAAAAAAATGTTCTGCTAAAGTAGTAGTACTACAATCACAAACGAAATAGGTCACAGGTCACGGAAAAACGTCTCCAAAACAGCACTTTTTATTTCAGCCGAATTGTTTTAATATAGTACTTAGAAAGGCCACCGTATGAGTATAAGAAAATATAATAAATATACAAGCCATAGTGTCACTAGAGAGAAATAAAGTACATTGGATATTAAAGGTAGAAAAAAAAAGTACATTGTGACCAAAATAAAGTACTTTTTATTCCACTTATTAGTATGCTTAAAAATATATTTTACGTTGCTGCTAGCAACTTTTAATAAATAATTTGCGGCTACTGTAGTTTTTTTCCGCAATTGGAAAGGTCATGATACAAAGGCATGCAGCCACGAAAATGTAGCAAGAATTAACTAAGGGCAACATATTCATACTTTTTGTCCGTTTTACGCAAAAATTCTTGATATCAACCTCTTTTTGTATATTTTATGTAAAATTAATCCGCGAGTAATGATAGAGAAGTATAGAGTACAATTACCCGAAATAACGTACAATACTTTATAATAAAGTACGAGTGGCAACTCTACCTATAACCGCTACTGCTAAGTTACAAACGCTGTGTTCCAAAGTACCGGCCATAAAGATGACGGATACCAGTAGTTTATTTTTGGCTCCATACCGAACTGACAGCTGAATAGGAAATAAAATTACACTCATAAAAACAAATCGAAACTATAGAGAAACGTAATTCTACTATACGTCATCTATATTTAGAGAATCGATAGACGCCGACGCCTGCACTAAAGCAGACTTTTCATATATTGTGATCGTTATATATAACCTTACATGTCGTAGAGTAGAAACACGGTAAGACGAATCCACAATACACCAATTTATTTATCAGAGGATCAACTTGAGTCTAGTCGTGGTAATGTAATCTAGGTATAGATACTCAAAGACTAAAAGCGCAATTATAATTCGATCGATGTTTTTGGAGTTTACTCCTTAAGAATCGATTTGCATATATAAGGGACCCGGTATGAGAAAAATGTGAGGAGTAAAATCTACTGAACAATTGACCTCGTTACGTTTTTGTGCGCAACCTCATCTGCGCACCTTTCTTTTTTAGCCATGGCATCGGATAAAAAACATTAAGTTGTCACAAATGTCAATAAAATAAATAAACTAAAAATAGATAAAATCGGAGCAAAATTAGTGAAAACAAATAAATAACAGAATATAGAGAAATGCCGGTAAGTGTCCAGCACTCTGGAATAGTGATTTTCAATACAGATGGAATTATAATACATATTTACAAAATGATGACTAGTGTGTGATATTTTAGAAATTATGTGTTTCCAGAAATACATAATAAAATATATGATGAATATCGATGATGTTAGATGATAAAATGTGTGACATGGAACCTATGATAGTCGAAACCATGGGACGATTCCTGAGGTATCTCTACTTGTAACCGACTTCTTCGGACTTGATTTTGTTTTGTGTCTGTTCAAAGACAATCGTTTTTAGAGTGTATACTCCGATCGTGCGTCGGAGCAATTTTTTTTTTTATTCTTTATTAAGCCATACACCTTAAAGGTTAAGTCGGCTACATAGCTATGACTTTAATTCAATTCGATAAGGACAATGAAAGAAACTTAAGAATTCTGTCGCTGTTACTACATATAAAGTTGGAGCTGTTTGCTAATTGATGAAATATAAAAAATAAATCTCGTCTACTATATTTAGTATTATCAATGAGATCAATTCTGTGTGTTTCATTCTGCTAACTCTCTATCAGTATGTGCATTAAATCTTCTTTAGCATTTTGACAACTGTCACCAGAGGGATTATTTCTTTGGCCCATCAAAGATTTAAATGCATTCAGTGGAACATCATCATCATCAGCCTATTAATGTCCCCACTGCTGGGGCACAGGCCTTCCCTATGGATGGAATAGGGAGATTGGGCCACGACCCTCCACGCGGGCCCAGTGCGGATTGGCGGGTGTTAACGACTGCAGATGCAGCCGGGACCAACGGCTTAACGTGCCTTCCGAAGCACGGAGGAGCTCGAGATAGTAATTTTTTGGTCACCCACCCAATGACCGACCACTGCGAAAGTTGCTTAACTTCAACGATCGCAGCCGAACGCGCTAACCACTTGCGCCATCGAGCTCCTCCGAGCAGAGGAACATGCCTAGAACGAACTCTCAAACAAAGAACAAGCAACTTACAATCAAATTTACTTTTGTGGAACCACGGGAACCGATCGAAGTTAATACGTAGCAGAGTGGTACATAATTAGATCATCAAAATAACCACGATCGAGTGCCGGCGTAGTCGTTCGGTCTATCACGGTGCCATTAATCAGTAACGAGCAAGAAATTACCAGCTCATGGTATCCATTTAAAATATGTACAAAAAGAGCATGACCGGCATATTTTAATGAAAACCTTGGAATTGATTTGGATTTCTATTGATGTTTGGTGCTTTAATATTGAAAAGGCATCCAATATCTTCGCAGCATAGTTTCCGCAGGTTTTTCGGCGAAGCTGCAAAGACCTCCGTTTAAGGACTTTTATTCATGAGGAAAGCCAGCGGTCACTGCATTTTTTGCTTTTAGTTTAAGCTCAATCCATGCCCTAATATTTTCAATTGCATTGCTATCATAGTACGATGGGAGCTAATCAAACACGTCAATACTCGTTTTCGGCTTCGAAGGCTTAAAGCTCATTATCCATATGCTGAATCAAGAAATCATTTTGGCATGGAAACATCACATAAACCGATGATAATAACTTTAGAAAAAGGACTTAAATAAATTAAATTAAATTGAATATTTCCAACACTCACACCAATTAGCCTAGCCCTAAGTAAGCACTGTAAGGCTTGTGTTCTGGGATGCCAGGGTAACGGATAAGTATATTTATATATAAAAACATATTATACATCCATGACTGGAGTACAAATGCTCGTATTCATCACACAAACATCTGCCCCACCGGGACTCGAACCCGGGACCTCTCGAGTCGGCGACACCATGAAACCCGGCGTACAAACCACTCGGCCACGGAGGTCGTCGTAGAAAAAGGACTTATTTATTCAACCTTATATTTATTTAATTAAACTGCTTACAGGACATGTGCTTACAGGATTTTTAAAATATACCTCTCACTTTCACACACACTGTATTTCCAGGATCAATTCCAAGTGTGTGTTAAATTAACGCAACAGTTAATCCCAAGACTAAACCTATGCTAACACAGAGATTTAGTGATTGGAATAATTTGTTTATTTCTTTTCAATATAGAGAAAAGTTGGTACCTACTAAAAACTGTTTTTTTTATCTATCAGGCATGTATGCATATCAAAAAGATTTGGATGCGTTTTAATTTCTTTATTCACATAATAAAAAACATTACAGAGACATTTCTTTAGATTTAAACATCTAGCAGTTACATGCTAAAAAAATAAAATATAAATACAGAGATATATTGATTTGAAATATCGCGTGTCGCCTTGTCTCTGTACATTTTTACTTAGAAGTGACATCACGAGCATTAATGTCCGTTATTTTTTGATAATCTAACTAACGGCGTACTAATAAGAATACAAGTACAAAATTAAAAATATTATAGATGAAACCTTTCAATATTAATTTAGTCAAAAAGGAAGGTTCTAGTACCTATTATACAGGCTCGGTGCTATTATAAAGTGCTATTTTATTGTATTTTTCGTTTTAAGTACTATTGTCGCTTCTATTAAGCATTAAGAAAACAATTGTTATGTTTTAACTATGTGAAAATGTTGGGGCAAATACATAAATTTATTATTATTATAATATCGTTTTATTTTATTGGTGACGACCTCCGTGGCCGAGTGGTTTGTACGACGGGTGTCATGGTATCGCCGACTCGAGAGGTCCCGGGTTCGAATCCCGGTGGGGGCAGATGTTTGTGTGATGAATACGAGCATTTGTTCTCCAGTCATGGATGATTAATATGTATTTCTTTATAAATATACTTATATATGTCCTGTATATGTATTCTATCCATTACCCTCGTATCCCATAACACAAGCCTTACAGTGCTTACTTTGGGGCTAGGCTAATTGGCGTGAATATTGGAAATATTTATTTTTTCTTGACTAAAACACAGGTAAAAAAATTGCTACTGAGTTGCGCGGCATTCTTTATAAACAGAGTATGTATCCATTAAAAGTTTATAATCAAGTGACCACTCATGTGATATTTTGATACTGAATTGCAAACATAATTTCTCCAACGTAATAAATTGCACTTGTGAATGAGGGGACCGGGGACCGAGGCAATGTATCTTTAATCTAAATCAAAAGAAAATCACAGAATAAAAATTTCTATGTAATGAAAAACCTTGTCGGAAAAAGATGGAATATACTCTCGTGTATCATTAATTTTACGAAGTTATAAACAACAAAAAAATCTAAATTGAATAGGTACCGAAAGAATATTTGAGTAAATTAAATGGAAAGCGCGGACATTTCCAAGGAATGTGCTCGCAAAATGATCCTTTGTTCGTGATTTCCTTCGGGCTAAATTTGGGCGCGCATTATTTGGACAAAGCCCCTAATTAGGTCGAATTTCTTTGACGTTATAATATGATTCGGGGATCTATTGATTTAAGCATCTCACCTTTAATGTAATATTAGGTTAAAGTCGATTTCGTCAAGTTATTTGGAAAGGTAGAAAAGGTAAACTTGTGACGGCCAAAAAGGTAAGAAATGTTACCTTTTTCTTCTTTGCACTTCTAACTAATGAAAAAGTAATTATGGAAAATTAGGCTCGATGGCGCAAGGGGTTAGCGCGTTCGGCCTCGATCGTTGAAGTCAAGCAACTTTCGCAGTGGTCGGTCGTTGGATGGGTAACCAAAAGCGGGCTGCTGACATCCCTACCGCAGGGCCAATCTAGGGAACACGGCGGTCGGGGCAATATCGGCTTGTCTCTCCACACATGCCTGCTATTCAGTATTCGGGTATAAGTTGATCTAAACACACGCGTCAAAATTGCCCCTGTATAATCGAAAAATCAAAAGATCGGTAGGTAGGGCCACGGCTCCGACTATGGTGTTAGCGCAAAAAAGGAAATACTGAGCAACAGAAACGAATGTATTGTAAATAATAAATAACTATTTTCAACACTCACACCAATTAGCCTAGCCCTATAAGGCAATATAAGGCTAGTGTTATGGGATGCTAGGGTAACGGATAGAATACATATACTGTACATAGGTCATATATATATATATAGAACTACATATTGAGCATCCATGACTGGAGTACAAATACTCATATTCATCACATAAACATCTGCCCCCACCAGGATTCGAACCCGGGACCTATCGAGTTGGCGACACGCCAAGAAACCCGGCGTACAAACCATTCGGCCACGGAGGTCGTCAAATGTGTGACACACAAGTGGGGCCGGTCTTTATATACTACTATCACTCGAGACCAAACTTCATGCTCATTATGATCTTCCGCCATCTTGATCGAAATACGTGCGCTCCGTGTGATAGTTACCAACCAACTGATTAAGAAATTGCCCCGATCGCGCTCCACACGTGGCAACGTGCAGGTCGGCAGAAACAATCTAGGAACCAAGAGTGATCTCGCGCCCCTGCGCGCATTAAGGAGGCAATAAAGGGTCATCCGCACTCTTACAACCTAGATTGCCCCTGCGGCAGGGACGTCAGTAGCCCGCTTAAGATTTACCTATAAAGCTATCACTCGCGCCTACAATTCAGCTTAAGAAACACTAGAGAGAATTCGACGCGGCCATCAGGGCCACGATAGTATAATCGTTCAAGTTCCGTCTGCTGCCTGGGGTGCGTGGATTTTTTTAATAAACTATAGATTTAAACATCTTACAGTTAAATAAAAACTCTAGTTTTTTTTGTGTTATGAGGGAGATAAACAAGCATAATATGGCCCGCCTGATGTGAAGTGGCTACCACAGACTACAGACGCATGAAATGCAAAAAAAATGGGTGCGTGTACTTATGTAGGCGCGTGAGAAGTTATCCTTCTTTGGCATCGTTTAAAATTAGTTTTTAATTGCATGCAAATAATTAATTACAATAAATTAATAACAAGTCTGGAAAAGGACACAGTCAATAAAGTTCAGTTTTAATTTGAAAAAATAAATAAATAATCAAAATATTCAATTAAAATCGCTACTGAATATAATTTATTAGAACATATGTGATTTGCACTTGTATGAAACTCAAACACGTATTCCGAATATACAAACTAGAAACATGTGGATAAATATTATAAATATGAATACCTATAACTGTTACAACTGTTACTTTATTACAAAAAATAAAGATGTGGTTTTTGGTTCCACTACACCAATGGTCAAGAGATGGCGCTGTAGTCTCCTGAATCGCGCTTTGGTTCCGTTGTTCCAGATTAATAAATACTTTTGATAGGCCTTCACAATGCAGTCGTTAGCACCCACTAAATAGAGATTCTATTTCTATTTTGTTGGTAGATTTTCTTAATGAGCGGTAAACACAAAAGTAACGCATGAAGTTGGTCGCTAAAGCGAGAGAGTATGTCATAACTGGGAGGACGCACTATGCCCTACCTCTCTAAAATACATCGTTGGATATGCAGTGCAGATCAACAATTTTATGTTTTCTCAGAAGTACACCCTCAGAAGTCATGGCTGTTTATCTATTTCTTCGAAAACATTTGGGACTCCATTAATGCCAAATGTGTTGCGCCAACTCAAAGGCTGTGCGTGTAATGTTTTTACCGGTGTAAATTCGACTGTCTCATATTGCCACCACCTTTGATGTTCTGCGGACGACGTAAATTTATTAATAAGAAAATGTACCTAAAAGATATACTTAAGCTTTGACATCGTAATAGTATACGAGAACGAAAAAACAAAAAATGACAGTTATGGCTTTTACATCTGTACTCAAAAATGTCAACTCAATTTAATACTTTTTTCTCAAACATGCTTGGAAAATTGAGTATTATTTTGACAACCTTCTTTACCCTAAATCGATTTTTTTATACTGGCCATATTTTTTTTTATGTTATAGGGGTTTGTGAATATTGCGAAAATGGTGAAGCTACACTAGATCACCTTATTTTACATTGTCCCGCCTTCAACATATCAAGAATTATTTTAGTAGATGGCCTACTGAAGATATTTAAAGATGATGACATTCCCCGCCTCTTGCCATCTATTCTCAAGAATTTTGAAACATATAAAATTTTATATGACTTCATTTCCGCTACGTTTATGCACTTGTAAAAGAAGAAAGATAGCCTTGAATAACAAAGATAAATATGAAATGAACTCATAATAATGAAGAATTGGCTGTATGGATTTCATCCAAGGCCGTTAAACTATTAAAAAAAAATGTTATAGGGGGCATACGAGCAGACGGCTCACCTGATGGTAAGTGATCACCGTCGCCCATGGACACTTGCAACACCAGGAGTATCACAAATGCGATGCCGGCCTTTAAGGAAGGAGTACGCTCTTTTTTTGAAGGTTTTTGGGTCGTATTGGTATATACTGGTTGCTTTCCAATTACAGCATTATTGCGCATTATGCTACATAATGCTTAGCGTTGAGTGTTCCAACTACAGCAACGCTTCGCACAATTGAGCACTCTCAAAAGTGATGCTTTCGTGTGATGCGTGCAATGGTACCAACTTAGAGACAGAAAATTAACAAGTGTTTTTTTCTTTAAGTTGGCATTGTTCGAAATGTTTTATTTATATGTTATCATTAGTAATATTATTTATTGTTGAAAAATTATTAAAGCTTTCGTTTCATTAAGTAGTTTTTTTTAAATAATCAAAGTTCATTCAAACTGTTAAAAAATAAATATAAGTATGGATGAAGGTACAAACATTGACTTTTTTTTTCAACACTGAACTTAGCGCACTCTGCTGGTGCATTTGAAAACTAATTCACGTTCCAATTAAGCATCAGCATAATTGGGCATTGTGCGGCACTGAGTCGCATTATGCTCTGTAATTGGAAAGCATACAATATATACAAGCGGCTGAAAAAAGTAGTATGAAAATATGAAAATGGATGTCTGTCGTATATTTTAAAAATGGAACCATCTTTTACTCAGATTTATGAAAACCAATGATGTAACTTATAAAAGGTTTTATTTAAATTTCGACTTTATATGCAAATTAATGGAAAGCTGTTTATTGAAAAAAACCAAAAGAATGGGTGTTGTTGTTTGTCTCTGATTTATGTATAATAGGGTATTCATAATCATTATGAAATAAAAAGTTCTTTATAGGTACTACTAGTTGTAATTACCGCGCATTACTTATTTAAGAAAAGAACTAGACGAGCCTTGGCCACAACTAGGCATTGATGGACTTACGTATATGTGCTTCGATTTCTTCTCGACCCACATTTACACGTTCGTCCATCAATGCCTCTTTTGCCAGCCGCTGTAGTAATGTCCTATTTTAGTAACGAAGCCAAAAATTAATTGACCTTTTTGAGTACGGATATAAGAGGCGTAACTCACAGTCATTGTCCTTTTTCTCGTATTAGGGCCTGTAATGCTACAAAAGAAAATTAGAAATTTAAGTTAGGAAATTGGACGACCTCCGTGGCCGAGTGGTTTGTACGCCGGGTCTCATGGTCTTGGATGTTTAATATGTATTTCTATATAAATATACTTATATATGTACAGTATATGTATTCTATCCGTTACCCTAGTATCCCATAACACAAGCCTTACAGTGCTTACTTTGGGGCTAGGCTAATAGGGGTGATGACGGGGTACAGTAAACGAAATTCTATTTAGACCGTCAGTTAGATGATCAAAATATAATTAATGGACACGTATTTTTTCTTTGGGCAATCAACCAAAAAATGACAGAGTTATAGCGCGACAAAGTTTGGGGGTAGGGGCTCGTGATGTCACTTTTGAGTTAATTTTCACTTATAAGTGTACTCAAACATGACGTCATGCGACTTTTCAAATCAATATATGTCTGCAATGTTTATATTATGTGAAAAAAGAAAAAATACGTGTCCAATACTTTTTGATAATCTGCCTGATAAACGAAGAAAAAAATATAGTCATCATTCCTATTGGTGTATTAAAAAAAAAAGTTCCGGTTTTTTGGCGGGATTTCATCGAGTGCGGTTGGCGTCTTATTTTAATTATTCTTAAATTCGTTCATAGTGGATATTGTGAAATAAAATTGGTGTGGTTTTGTGTAACAACTGTCTGCGTAGCTGAAGAATTAGTGGTATCATTAAAATATACGCTATTCCGGTCAAGTGGACGTGAGAATTTTATTGTAGTGTTGACTACCTCACAGAAGCTTATCGAAAAAGCCAACTCGATACATTTCGTGCCAAACACTCCAAGAAACATTAGAATGCGTCACACCGACATTCTAAAGTAAAAACAAAAAGAAGATTAATTTAATTAAAGACCAGGCTGTATGGGCATTGTTCCCTTTGCCTTCCCTAAAACGGGAGAACTTCAACAAAAAAAAAAGAAAAAAAAAGTTCCCTAAGAAACTACTCACACGGACAGCCAGGAGATGAACGCGAGCGTGAACAGCGACATGACCATCGCCATGGTCCTGAACGGGAACAGCTGGACTTCATTAACCGGGTCCCAGCCCGGGTAATGGATCAGGGGCGGCAGTCCCAGCAGCTTCTCACCACCCGAGAGTCGAACTAGCGCCGCCACTATGTAGGCGGCGAGCGAGCCGTACGTGTTGCAGTGCTTCTTGAAGTGGACCACCATCAGGAGTTGGGGGAACAGGATCACGTACACCAGGTCGGAGCACATGGACCTGGAGACAAATTTATTGGTAAGTTTCTTGTTGTAAAGAGAAGACTAAGCTTATGTTGGCACGTGCTGCGTTGCTCCAATATTTTTTTATGCACGGACACATCTGAAGTGAAAATTCTTTTCTTAAATAACATTAGGCAGTGCATAAGGCATAGAGAAATGAAGCAGCGCACGCGTCACTCATTTATATATATACACATATATATACATATATATGTGTATATATATACTAGCTGACCCAGCGAACTTCGTACTGCCATAAAAATATGGGCAGGTCGTAGAAAAGACAATTTAGGGGTGTGTAACGTAGTGTTCTATCAGTTTCCTGGGTTATCATTCTCCCCAATAGTTTGAATTTTGGCGCGAAGGCGTATTGTATGTTTCGGAACACTAAGTTACAGGTGGACAACCATTATCACTTAAGGATATGAAAAATAGATAGTAACCGATACTCAGACCCACGGAATATGCATATAAAATTTCATAATAGTCGGTCAGGCCGTTTCGGACGAGTATGGTAACTAACATTGTGACACGTGAATATTATATATCTTTATATATATAATTCTTCTGTGAGTGTGTATGTCACTGAACTTCTCTTAAACGACTGGACCGATTTTGATGAAATTTTTTGTATGTGTTCAAGGGGATCTGAGAATGGTTTAGATACACAATTTTGTCCGCTGGACAACCCCTATTTTTTTAGGGCGGTACGTAGTTCGCTGGGTCAGCTAGTAAGATATATAATTATATATATATATATATATATATATATATAGTGTTTCAGCCTTCGCCGAGTTACTCTCCAACTTTCATGGTCGTCGGGAAGAGCTGCGCACGCATCACACACATACAGAGTGTAAAAAAACCTATAACGAAGTCGAAGGCCACGTATTTTCCACATCATGACGATCATTTTTTTCTTCTGAACCATACCTGGGAAATTTATGGTTATGGAGATATTGAAGGTCAAAGCCAAAATATTTTTTTCAAGATTTATCTATACTTATAATAAATCTGTAGAGAGGTCAATTCTGTAAATATATTTTCAAAATAACTATCAGGGGGTGATTTGTGATCGATACTGATGCCAAAAATGCAATCAGTAAAATTTTTGTCTGCCTGTCTGTATGTATGTTCCTTATAGAAACAAAAACTACTCGACGGATTTTAACGAAAGTTGGTACAATTATTCTTCATACTCCTGGGCAGGTTATAGTATACTTTTCATCACGCTACAATCAAGAGCAGAGTAGTGAAGGGAAATGTTGGGAAAACGGGAGAAGTTACTCCATTTTTTAAGCTTCCGTCGCGTGTACAGCCTTAATGGTTAAAGTTACATAGAAATCATGTATTACGGAAATATTCTACATAAAATTGTCTAAAAAATATCTCGCAACAGCATATGTCTATCTTTTATGGTTGACTCACAATAACATCCGTGCGTTTTTATCCGTGCGGTGACGGAGAAAGAATACAACTCACCGCCCCTTTTCTTCCCGTGGGTGTCGTAAGAAGCGACTAAGGGATGTCGGAGCTTCCATCCGCTCTTCTGGTGGTAGGGTGCCTAACACCCGCCTGGTTTGTTACCACCGTGCGCATGGTGAAAAACCCGTGAAGTGCTTCTCGCGCGTTTCGGGGTCAGCCAGCGTACAACCAGAGCTCGAGTGGAAGTTGTCGCGAAGGATTCGGTCCAGGGGAGGCATCCGTGGAACCGATGCCGGGAGGACTGCATCGACCCGTCGGCCAGGGAGACCCGTAGAAACGGCTGTCCCGCTGGCCGCCCGTGGCACAGTACAGGGGCCCAAGCGTTCCTAACCAGTTCACGAGGCTGCCCCATCATATCACGCATAATCTCGGGGTGGACCGTCGTGCCGGTTGGTGACCGGGGCGTGGGGTCCCGGCGGCCACTCCCGGGGGGGTGCGGGGGCCCTTCCGTCCGGCGGGTCGGCGCATCTCCACTGCAGGCAGTCAATCGGGAAGACAAACCCCCCTTATTTGCCCGGACTCTTCGCGACGGCGTCCGCTCGTTTTCGCGTCTCTTTTTTTTTCACTTCCACCATGGCAGCCTCAATAACAAAGTTTGGACGTACAGCGGTGCACACCCCCACGCCTTCAACGCTGTTTGAGGTCGAGTTCTGCAACATACGCGGACTCCACTCTAACCTCAACGCTGTCCACCACCATCTCGAGACAGCACGGCCAGCATTGTTGTTCCTGACGGAGACACAAATACTTCCGCCTGCTGACACAGGCTACCTTTATTATCCCGGCTACGTGCTTGAAGAGTCCTTCAAAGCGAAAGCCGGTGTATGCCTGTATGTTCGGGCGGATGTTTGTTGTCGCCGTCTCCGCTGCTTGGAAGATCCCTCCTTCTCCATGCTGGGGGTACACGTCGACTCTGGCCCCCGGACCAGAGTCTACGTGTACCTCTACAGATCCCACACCGGCGATGTTGAGACAACTCGACTTTTTGAACACCTTAGTCGGGCAGCAGATGACGCGCAGGAGCGATTTCCCAATGCAGAATTGGTGTTTTTGGGGGACTTTAATGCTCACCACAATTTGTGGTTAAGTTCTTCCAAAACTGACCATGCAGGGATCTCTGCTCACACATTCGCTCTCACGCATGACTTGAAGCAACTGGTTGATCAGCCCACCAGGATCCCAGATATTCCAAGTCAAGCGCCTTCTTTACTGGACCTTCTGCTCACGACCCATCCACAGGGCTATCAGGTTGTGGTAAGAGCCCCCCTGGGCTCGTCCGACCACTGCCTGATATCTGCCAAAGCACCACAGGCCAAGCCTCCGCGTCCAGCAGTGGTCAAGCGCCGTATCTGGCATTATGGGTCGGCAGATTGGGACGGTATGCGTGATTACTTTGCGTCCGTCCCTTGAAAGCAGCGCTGCTTCAGTGACAGGGACCTATCGGGCAGTGCCGTTGCCATTACTGAGGAGATCATAATGGGTATGGAATACTATATTCCTCATTCTGATCTCATCAGTAAGGGCACACGTAACCTCTGGTTCAATCACGACTGTGCTGAAGCTGCTTCGCGTAAGCAAGCGGCATATCGTGCTTGGATCAGAGGCCGCGCTCTCAAGGATCCCGGGGTCGATACACTCAAAGCAGCCTACAATTCTGCTTCCAAGGCCTGTAAGAAGGCTTACATCAGAGCGGATGCCCAGCGTGTTGCACGTGTTGGCCAGGAACTTATAACGCATCCTGCGGGCTCCCGTAGCTACTGGCGTTTAACCAAGGCCGTGCAAAAAAACTTCTGCCAGCCCTCGCTGCCACCTCTGAGATGCCCAGACGGAACACTAGCTCATAAGCCGCAGGAGAAAGCCGATTTACTGGCAAAACTCTTTGCGGCTAACTCCCGAATCGATGATTGCAATGCACTGCCACCATCATTACCTCACTGTGGCACAACGATGCCTGATATTAAAATCAGGCAGCGTGAGGTTCGTGCCGAGCTGCAATCACTCGACGTCCGGAAAGCTAGTGGACCTGATGGCATCCCAGCAGTAGTACTTAAAAAATGTGCAGCGGAGTTGTCTCCCGTGCTCACGCGCTTGTACCAATGCTCGTATTCTTTGGGGCGTGTGCCGGAGACTTGGAGAGATGCTAACGTGCAACCGGTGCCCAAAAAAGGGGATCGCTCAGACCCGGCAAACTATCGGCCAATAGCAGTCACCTCAATTTTATGTAAAGTTCTAGAAAAGGTCCTTAATAACCGTCTGACCCGCTACCTAGAGGATCACTCCCTGATTAATGATCGTCAGTATGGATTTAGACCGAAACGATCGACGGGTGATCTTCTAGCGTACTTAACTCATATCTGGGGTGAGGCTATCGACAAGCGTGGCGAGTCGTTGGCTATCAGCCTTGACATTGCCAAGGCGTTCGACAGGGTCTGGCACAAAAGCCTTCTCTCCAAGCTTCCGGCATACGGTCTGTTAGTCCAGTTCTGTTCTTGGGTAGCTGACTTCCTGCATGAGCGTAGAATTCGTGTCCTTACGGATGGTAGCAGTTCGCGGTTCATGTCAGTGAATGCCGGCGTTCCCCAGGGCTCCGTCCTATCCCCCACTCTCTTTCTGCTGCATATCAATGACCTGATTCCTCTTGGGAATATTCATTGCGATGCAGACGATAGTACAGTGCATGCGGGGTATCTCGGACAAGCAGCGGCTGGGCATGCAGTAACCAGGGAGAAACGGGAAAATCTTGTCATTGAACTCAATCAGGCTTTGGACCACATTTCCGAATGGGGTACCAGGAACTTGGTTGGGTTCAATGCCAAGAAAACTCAGGCTTGCGCTTTCACGGCAAAAACATCGCCATTCCTTCCCCTTCCATCTCTTCAGGGCACAACACTACCGCTGCAGAGCAACATTTCCATGCTCGGTATGGAAGTTCGCTCAGACCTGAATCCAAAGGACTACATCGAAACCGTGATCAAAACAGCTTCACGCAAACTCGGAGTCCTGAACAAGGTGCGGCGTTTTTTCACGCCCGATCAACTGTGCTTGTTGTACAAAACGCAAGTGCGGTCCTGCGTGGAATATTGCTCGCACCTCTGGGATGGCTCCGCCAAGTACTTGCTCGATGCTTTGGATAGGTTACAGCGGCGCGCGATCCGCATCATAGGCGATGAGGAGGTGACTAAACACCTTGAGCCTCTTCAATTACGCCGTGACGTGGCGTCACTAAGCGCGTTCTATCGTTTGTACCACGGCGAGTGTTCTGAGGAGTTATTCTCTCTTATCCCACCTTCCCCTTTCCTTCAGAGGACCACGCGCGCTGGCCTACGTTGTCACCGTTTTACTGTGGCCACAATTCCAACGCGTACAAAGAAATTTGGTGACTCATTTCTTTGTCGCACTATCCGTAAATGGAATGCTCTGCCCGCTCACGTGTTCCCTCCCTCTTACAACCTGGAATCCTTTAAAAGAGGCGTGAAGAAGCAACATGCAGGCCGGCAGGGTGAGGATGGCTGG